CTTTGATCGATTAGACAATTCGCTCAAAATGTTAAATTTTGTATTCTAGTTATTATTCTAATATATTTTTGAACGTTCTTCCTGTCAGAAAATTTTGTTACAATGGTTTAAACAAACTACTAGATTTATTTAGAAATAGACGCGAAAGTCGTCTCTATTGCAAATTCGTCTACCTGACAATCGTGCAAAATATAATTAAAGCGCTGTTTTATACAACAATTTATTCGGTAATAAGTATATGTATACCTGAATGATTACTATAAAACGATATTTCCAATGATAAATTTTGCATTGCCTTTTTTATCATTTATATTTCGACAAGAGCAAAATCTGGTGACTTTTCGTCTATTATAATTTCAAATAATAATGAAAAATATTTCCTTTGCTACTGACCAGGTGTACAAATAATTAACGTCCAACACGCGCTTCTTTACAGAACAGTTTATTCAGTAACATTACACCGTCTTTTTATAATCTATCCTTAATTTTAATTTTAATTAACATTTACGATTTATTTTCCAAAGGTTGAAATATGCTTGTGAAAGAACTCTTCAGTCATTTTATTCCATCATAATTTCCACTAATAAAAGTGAAAAATATTTCTTTTACTACCGTGGAATTAAACGATCGAGTGAAAAAAAAATACGAAGCTATTAAGAATCCTGTTTGCAGCGTCATACGCAGACTATGAGTAATTCCGGTTGGAATTTCCGGCGTGGAAGAGCCGTTCCCCCACAATTTCTACGTCTTCCCTTTGGATTAAGAGCGGACGACGTTTTCCATGTAATTAGTCGCGAGTACAGGAAGCGGCGAGGAATCGTAGAACGCGAGCGTGTCACGTGAAGCCAGAAAACATGGAATCAGGGTCGCGTGACCGAAGACCCTGACAGTGGCCAACTCGCGAGATTTTGTCTTGTGAAACCACTTGAAAATGAATAATCATATAAAATACAGGAAATGTGACTTAACATGTTTCCCACCTGTGGTTTTCAATCACGGGGCATCCTGTAAAATGAACAGATAGATGGAAAGAGAAGGTAACTAAGAAATTGTTAAACTTTGATTCGATTTAGAATTTATTAGAAATAAAAGCAACGTCTATAAATCTTTCTCATTAGCGCGTGTAATTAATGTTTCTTATCGTGGGTTATTGGAGTGTGAAATTTTCAGATTACGAAGTGTAGATGTTAATTCTAGATAGAGGGAAAAAGTTGATAATGCAACGTGTACCTAATGCGATTTATAGCGATTAAATTAATTAAAGAATTCGTGCAAGATAGAAGTTATTCGACTGTGATAAGCGGAGAATATCTGAAGATTATATACATGTATGCAAAATGATAATTAATTCCTAGTATATGTATAATCACTCACCAACATTTACATGCTGTTTCTTCTTTGGAACTAATAGGGGATAGTTTGAAACATATGTTGTTTGATATCTGACAGCCGTCCGTTTTACGTAATTAAAAATGTTATCTCCAAGAGGTAAGAATCACTAGATCTCATAAAGAGCATAAAAAATTTGTATATCACGGAATGACAGAATCGTTGCGATTTCTACTAACTAACGGGATTTGAGGAAGTTACAAGAGATTTATTGCAAACATACACCGAGTAAGAAATTAATATACACTAGGAATAGTAGTATTAAACGTGCAATTAATGCATTATATATAATAGTAAATAAGTAAGTATCGTGGCTTATTAATATAGAGAATAATTGATTGTTCGAATACTTTGATTTTCTCTGCTTCCAGCTTCTAATATAAATTTTCTAATCCTTTTCAAGTTTTATCCATATGATCATGATAGTCTTATTACAGTGCTAATAAGATTTCAAAATGTTTCCTATAATATGTACATAAAAAGTTTCTAGAAATGTTTGAATATTTGTATGAATCAATGGTCGCACTGTCTACGATGGCTAATGGTCTTCCTCTCGAATGAAATACAAATACGTTGCAGATAAAATGACAGATGAGAGAAAACTAATTAAGTGGCAAGTATCGAACATTTTGACACTTGTATGTAAGATCACATATGCCGACCTGTCCTTTATAGGTCAGAGACTGCACGATCACAGTGAACGAGGCGAACGCTTACAATTCTCTTTTGACAGAGGCCGATTCCAGGTCTCCAGGTCGAGTCGTCTGGATGTCCGCTTCGCTTCGCGGCTCGTCGCGTGGCCACGAAGGCGAAATCGCGAATATTTATTGCGCAACTGCACGAATCGAAGCATTCGCCGTTAATGCTTTGAAAAGGGAACGCGTCTGTGAAAATCGAATCATTGCCATTTAATGGTAAACTGGCGTTGCAATTCCTTTCGTTATCTAATCCACTCTTTATTCCGAGGAATTTCTGATTTATTACGTACACTTTTCTTTAGCACTTGAATTTGTGGTTGGCCTAACAAAATTCACAGCGCACTTTCATCGAACACTCGATTTTTTTTTAAACAAAGAAAGAACATCTGTGTTTGGGAATTTGGAGAGGCATTCGATGGATAATTGTAATTTTGCTCCTTATATCTTTTGTTTCTCTTCTGGAAAAATTAACATAGTATTTTGAGAAAATTTGGAAAAAGTTTTCGTTGAAAAACGTATCTGTGATTTAATCATGAAAAGGACGTTTGTCACTAGAAATATATTGTACCGTAGTTTAAAGGAGAGCTGAATTTCAAAGTTCAGACGTCGATGCTTAAATCTTGCCACGAGATATATCGCTGCGACGCGAAACTGCTTCGCTAAATATTTATGAACGGGGTATTCATGAATTCGATCGTAACGTGTATCGTTTTCACGAGTAATCCGTGTTAACCCTTTCCCTGCGATTTCGTCCGTAAATCAGGGTGTCGAAAATTCTGTGTCGACACACAGACTCTGTTAATTTTCATGAAAGCTGCCTTTGCAGCACAAAACGCGTACTTTCTTCCACGTTCTAAACTGCAAGATTTAATCATTCCTTATTAATATTAATAGAACTATCAATGTGAAGAAAATTCTAATTCTTAAGTTCTCAGATATATGTCAGATTTATAAAAATGCCTTTTACCGAATTTTGCCTGATTTGTTGGAAAAATGTATAAATATGAACGCACCTGTTGTATCACAAAATGTGATATTTGATACACGTTGAATGCTTTTTATTAATTTAGTTGTGTGCTTGTGTCTTAAAAAAAAACTCGTTGTTTCATTAGTATAGCATATATAGAATACAAAAATTAAATAAATTAAAACTTGCTAGATTCTGCAGAAGATTGGTGTCTTTGTGGACATTGGTGCATTTAGTAATGCACATTGTACATGGTTTTATCTTCTCCTGCATTATGTAACTTTTCTTATACCATTCATTTTAGTTTCTTTGGTGTTATTTCCAGCAAATTACTTGAATGGCATCGAAAAAAGAAAAAGGTGGTACCCATTCGTTTCTTCTCTTCCGTAGCCATAAACTCTTCTGACTATAAAATTTACGACTTCGCAATTCAAAACTCATAATTAATTCTCAGAAATGCTGTGAGTATCGAAAGTGATATATCAGATTCCATCAAACCGTCTCTTCTTCCTCTTGTTTTCATTTCCTTGAAACTAACTGGAATAATTTTGAATCTTAGAATCACCGAAGTGGCCAAAATAAATGGTTCCTATCAAGTTCTCTATTTTAGCCGAATATTCCAAAAGTACTTAAACGTAATTTTCATGCTTCGTTCCTCGCTAATCCTAATCCTAATCCTAATCCTAATCCTAATCACTTCTCCATTCCCATTACAAATTTCTCCAGCTTCCTCCATCGTCATCAGGAATCCATTCAACCGAGAACAGCTCGGAACAAAACACTGTTGGTTGCATCACTCGATTCCGTGAAAAAGAAGTACGATGATAGAAAGAGAAGGCTATCGGCGTTCCTCGGCAAAATCGGCTCGGAAGAATGTCCATTTTCCTCGGCACAGTTCCAGACACCCCATCGGACGAAGGGTTCCCGAGGCAGATACGGCCTTTGTCAGGGAGTGCCTTTCCCGAAGCAGAAAAGCGGCAGAAAGAGAATCAGAAGAAGAAGGAAGAAAGAGGGAGAAGAAGAAAGAAAGAGAGAAGGGGCCTGGTGGAATAGTGGGGCCCAGTCGGTCGAAGTCTCACGCCTTCCGTCAGTCCTCAGTCTGACGGGGAGCGTACAAGCGTCAACAGCCTCGCTGTTCAATTCCTACCTTCTCTCCGTGCGCGTTCTACCATCAGAAACCTCGCTGTGGAACACCAATCTCGTATTCCACTTCTGCGTACCCAACACGATCCTCCAGGGGCCATAAACAAGAAATAAATTCGTCAAAGTGGGACCAGTCGTCAAGTGAATGCGACCTCAGCGCCATCTATACGAAACACAGTACAGTAATAGTGTAGAACATCGGAAGTAATCATTGAAAGTTCGACTAATAATATCGGATAAACGAAATCAGGACATAGGTACACATATATTTGGATATTTATCCAAGTTGTGAGTGCCGATGAGACATAGAGGAACGTCAGAGACGACGGCCTGCGTGGCTGACGAGGCCTGTCGACCGCGCCTCTGGATTCCAACGGCGGCGACACACTCAGCGTGCCCGTTCGATCGTCGGTGAGCGTTCCCTTGGTAAAAAGAGTGTGTACTTGTCGGTGGATCGGTACACGTGGAGGTAAGGGGCAACCAGGAGGACGTAGACGCCACTGGTGTACACCGCATACCACAGGAGGACCTGGCTTGAGCGGCTGGTAGAGAAAGGTGGGAGAAAAAGGATTGGTGGGGGGTTGAAAAAGGTTGGTAAGAGTCGGGCCGGGACGCGTTGGTAGAAAGAAAAACGGACTGACACAGAGGAGGAGAAGGCCAGGTAGAAGAGGAGACACGGCCAGGTAGCTAGTTGGTGGGGAAGTCGTCAGAAGGCGGCCATAATGGCCTGACGCGATCTCTCGCGAGCGGCGGCTACAGCTGCTGCG